GCATCAGGGGCTCATTACTCGAGCAGCAATGGATGATGCTCGATCCTCTGTGGATAGTGCTCGATCATGGGGGTAATGTATGAGACCTGGAGCATAGCCTTTTCATTTAAAATCAACTCATTAATTTCTGATGCCTCACGCTCGAGCTTCAGGGTCAAGGCTTGAGCACCTTTGGTTAAGGCTCGAGCATCAAGGTATGGATGCTCGAGCATTTGGGCCTTGTTGACTTTTCTTCTTTTCCTTGTTGTAGTGCTCGAGCCTCAACACTTGGGCTCGAGCTCTAAGGCTTCAAGATGTAAGTGGTAATCCTAGGTATGATACTGGTAATGAACCAGTTCCAAATTGAAGTAAGGCTAAAATATCAGCTTTGGTTTGACCATCAACACCAGAGAAAAAGGTAAGGCTCTTTGATAGGTTTATGCTTAAACCAAAAAATTCAAGGAATTGTTTAAGGGCCTGGAAGACAATCTGAACTGAGGACAAACTCCTATGAGAGAACAATAAGACATCATCTGCAAATGCAAGGTAGAATAGGGCCAGTTTGCTACATCTCCAGTGATACTTAAAAGTAGGGTTGCTCACTATGGCATAATTCATGGATTGGGTGAGGACTTCTATTGCAATGATAAACAATAGAGGAGAAATAGGGTCCCCTTGCCTAATCCCCTTTTGCCCTTTAAAAAATCCAAAGAGTTCACCATTGAGGGATATGGAATAGGATGGTGTGCTAATGCATTGGGTGATCCATTGGATAAGACATTCAGGAAATCCCATAAGGTTAAGAGTATCAATAATGAATTGCCAATGAATACTATCAAAAGCCTTTTTAAGATCCACTTTCAGTGCACAGCTAGGGGGATGTGAGGACCTATGGTACCCATTAAACAGCTCATGAGCCAAGATAACATTCTCAGAAATATGCCTTCCTTTCACAAAAGCATTCTGAGTGGGACTAATTAAAAAAGGTAAGGCTGTGCTAATCTTCAAGGCAATGATTTTTGAAATATATTTGTAAATTAAATTGCAACATGAAATGGGTCTAAAATCATGGACTGTTGCGGGATTTGGAATTTTAGGCACTAGGGAAATATATGAGCAATTGATTTCAGTGAGCAGTTTTCCAGAGATAAAGAAGTCCCTAATGGCTACTGTGACTTATTGACCAATAATTGGCCAAGAATGAATGAAAAAACTTGAGTTAAAGCCATCCGGACCTGGACTTTTAAAGGGGTGAAAGGATAGGAAGCATTGTCTAATTTCACTATCAGTAGGAATTGCTGATAATGAGGGAATAAGGTTGGATGGAACAGTTTTGGTAATGAGATGAGAAAAGGATGCCATACCTGTGTATTGTTGGTAAGGTTGACCAATCAATCCCATAAAATGATTGAGAAATTCCTGTTGCAGTTCGTTACCATGAAGCTGAACCCCATCAGTGCTTGTTATGGTTTCCGCTTTTCTCCTGTTACACTTTGTGGAGAAATTTTTCATGAAGAATGAGGTATTCTGATCCCTTTCTTTCAACCAGTGTATTTGAGCCTTTTGTTTATAGAATAACTCCTCAGCTAAACACAATTCAGAAAATTTGCCCACTAGTTCCTTTTCTTTGCTTCTTAGCTGATCATCCATGGGATTAAGGTCTAAGTTGGATTGACAAGAATATAGGTCCTCTCTACAAGCCTGAACTCTGGCAGAAATATCACTAAATTCTTTTTTGTTAAGCTGCTTAAGAGGTCCCTTCAGAGCTCTAAGCTTCTGCACAACTGTAAACATTTTAGAACCATGAACCTCTAGCTGCCACCCTTGAGACACAATTGAGAGAAAATCCCTGTGTTGACTCTGGAAATTGAAAAATCTAAAAGGCAGGTTCCTTTTCACACTAACTTCACCAATGCTCATTATCATTGGAGCATGATCTGAGACTCCCCATGGCTTGAAGCAACATTTAGACTGAGGAAATTTTGCCATCCAAGCTTGATTAGCCAACACTCTATCTAACTTTCTTGAAATATTTGCACATCCAAAGCTTTTGTTAGTCCAAGAGTGAAAAATACCATAATATCTTAAATCTTCAAGCTCATTCTTATTCAAGCAGGTCTTGAAGTCCTCCATTCCAGGAGTCCACCTGAGAACATCACCAAAGGAATCATTGACATGAAGCAATACATTAAAATCACCCAAAAGGACCCAAGGCACATTAGCTTGACCATGCAGGTTAAAACATCTCCACAAACCTTTCATTTCTAAAGCAGTGTTAGCTGCATACACAAAGGAAGCTAAACACCTAATCTTCAAATCAATAAGGAGAATAGAGCAATTAATGGCTTAACTTGTTGTACTGGAGATAGAGACTTTCAGTTTTTGTGGATTCCAGAGCAGCCAAATCCTACCTAGGACTGAGTAAGTGTAGTTACAAACCAAATTCCAGTTGGGAGCAATCACTTTATGAACTGTCTCAGTATTTTTAGGACTAATTTTTGTTTCCAGCAATGCAATTAAACTCAAATCTGAATCTCTAATAAGATTCTTGACCTCTACTTGTTTGAGGGGAGAGTTCAACCCTCTTACATTCCATGTAGCCCAGATCATTGAGAAGAGTACAGATACCCCTAAACCCCTTCAAGGTAACAATTTTCCCCTTAGCATGCTTCTTCTTATTTTTTGAGAATTTTGGTTTCCTTGGTTGTATCATTCGACCCTCCACTGGAGAGTAAGCTGGATCATAATTATCACTCTCACAAGTTGAGGACTGCTCTATTTCATCACCTACATCTTCCCCATTCTCCTCTAAGTTTTCGACAGAGAGAACATCAAAGGAATTAGCTGTGGCCAGGGGTTCAGGACTCTTAGTCCTTCCAGGAATACAAGGCAATGAGAGGTCCACATATAAGCAAATTTCTTTCCCCTTCCCTAAATTAACAATCTCAGGTGGGTGTGAAGCAAGTGAAGTGTTGTCTTGACCATTGGGTGGAGAATTATTCATAGTCTTAGGTGGTTGAGTAATTGGTGTGGTATTATGGACAAGAGGGGGATGGTTACTAGTGGATGCGGAATTACAGTTAGAGCGGGAAGTATAAGATTTTGGGGACTTTCTAGAGACCATTACCCATTCTTGAGTTTGGGCAGTTGTGCATGTATCAGTGGTTATAGGTGTTGAGCATATAGTTGTGCAGTTTGTAGAAACATGTCCAAATGAGTTACAAGTAAAGCAAGAGAGGGGTTTCCAGGGGTACTTTACCTGAATTTCAACTAGAGTTCCATCTTTTTTCTTCACATGGAAAGAGTTATCAAGTGTGGATTGAGGAGAAATTTCAACACAGATCTTGGCATAGTCCATTCTGCTTTTATTAATTGTATTCTTGTCCGTAAAAAGTGGTTTTCCAATGGCACTTGCAATATAACTCAATCCCTTAGGGGACCAGAATTGGAAGGGGATATTATAGAAAAGAATCCAAATTGCCAATGAATTGACAAGAGGATTTTGCTTTCGAGGTTCAGGAGACCAAGCCTGTAGAGTCACTGCCTTACCAGCCAAGTACCATTGTCCTCCTGCTAAAATGTTTCTGCAACTCTCCACTGAGTCGAAGGTGAAATAGAAGGTTCCATTTGTGCTCCCAACAACCTTCAAAAGCCCTCTGTTAGACCACAATTTGTGTGCCATCCTGGCAATTAGCTTGTAAGACATCTTTTTTCTGAAAGATTCCAACCAAACAAGATTGCCACTGCAAAGCTCCTTCCTCTTCGATTCTGTCTGGTAGTTCCACAATTTTCCCTCCTTCACTGTTTTTTGGTTCATGGTAATCAAAGCTCCAATTCTCATTTTGAGCTTGGGCAATTGTAGCCCAAGATTTAGGTGAGCTGACCGAGGCATGATGGGGGGAGCTCTCAAAGGCCAGTGAACATTCAGTTGGTGGGATGGAGTGTTGGGTAAATTTTTGAGGTTGGTCAAAGCTCTGTTCCATTAATGCCACTACAAAAAATATGTGGTATCTTGACAGTGGTTGTAGTAACCATATAACTGGAGATAAATCTATTTTTGTTAAACTTGATGAATCTGTAAAGTCTCAGGTGCGTATGGGGAACAACAAAAGGGTGCAAGTTCAAGGCAAAGGAATAGTTGCAGTAAATACAAATTTTGGTAAAAAATTGACTGATGAAGTTTTGTATGTTCTAGGTGTGGCTCAAAATTTGATCAGTTTGGGACAGCTACTCAAGAAAGGTTGTTCAGTTGTGTTTGAAGATGACAGATGCATGTTGTACAACAAATGAGATAAAAAATTAATATTGTTTTCAAAAGTGTCTAATAACAATATTTATCCTCTTAATTTTTCTAAGCTCAGAGATGATGAGAAGAAGAGAGAATTGGTTGCATGCACATCAAAAACAACTCCAGAAAAAACACTGAGAATTCAAAAGACAAAGAAGAAACCAGTGGAAGACAATCCTGAAAAGACTGAAATTTTAGACAAAACAAAGCGTGGAAAAAGCAACAATGTTGGAAGAAGATTCAAAAGGAACACTAGCAGAGATCGTGGAAGAAATTTTAAGACTTACCCTAAAATTTGTTAATGTTTGAAAATTTGAATTAAGGGGAAGTGTTGGAAGTTAATTCAAATTTATCTTCATTGATATCGTCAAAGTTATCTTGACGATTAGAGTTTTTGAAATTAAAATAAAATTGATAGGTTTAGGTTGTTAAAGTTTGAATAATAATTGTTATCATTAAGATCACATCACACGTACGTACTGCCTATTTAAAGAGACTGATTGTAACCATATTGGTATCCAAAAATCAATTAATATAATATACGTGATTGTTTCCTTTCACATATATTTTTTCTTCCTGTCCTGTTGTTACGTGTTGGTTCATCACTAGCCAAAAAGGCTAACAAAATCTACAAATGAGCAGTGGTAGTGATTTTAGAAGTATGATACAAACTGTGATGGGTTGTTCGATTTTTAGGAGTTCAAGAATAAAGATTTTGGAGTGTTTGATTTGAATGGCGACGGGTTGTCCGATTTTGAGGAGTTCAAGAATAAGGACTTTGGAGTGTACGTTTGATTTGAATGGCGATGGGTTGTTCGATTTTGAGGAGTTCAAGAATAAGGATTTTGGAGTGTTTGATTTGAAAGGTGATGGGTTGTTCGATTTTGAGGAGTTCAAGAATAAGGATTTTGGAGTGTTTGATCATTTGAACGGCGATGGGTTGTTCGATTTTGAGAAGTTCAAGAATAAGAATTTTGAAGTGTTTGAGATGAATGGCGATGGGTTGTTCGATTTTTGGGAGTTCAAGAATAAGGATTTTGGAGTGTTTGATTTGAATGGTGATGGCTTCATTTCATATGACAAACTCCAGAATGTGCTGTCAAGATTAGGGTAAGTTGTGCGGTAAACATGGTGGTAGTGATTTTAGGAGTACGATCGATACAAACTGCCATGGGTTGTTCGATTTTGAGGAGTTCAAGAACATGATGTTGATCACCAATTCTTAATGAAGACATTACTATTTGTTTGTAGAATATCTTTTTTATTTTTATTTTTTATGATGAACTCAAAACAATAAGCACAGACTGACCCAACTCCTTCAGCGGATAATAAGATTAAATAGAAGTACTATTGAAGCTAGCTACAGAGCAACAAGAAAAGAACACAACCTACAAATTTAGCAAACATGCAGTAGACCAGAATCCATAAAAATAGTACAACAATTATATATATATATATATATATATATATATATATATATATATATAATGCATCGCGATGCATGTATATATATTAATTAATATTCCCACATATATATGCTTAAACAGATTTATGGTGCAACTCCATCATCATATTCTGGACTTGCCTCTTCTTGGTCTTGTTGGAGATGAACATGCACTGGATCAATCACTACTTGAATGTGATCAAATTGCGGGTCAGGGTTACTTCCATTGGGAGTGAGCACCAGTCTGCCATTGATAAAAAGGTCGCATACCGGAACAGTAAAAGACCCGGCTTGGAGGCATGCCGTCCAAAACTGTTTAAAGATGTTCAAGAGCCAACGCCCGGGACAAAAGGATAGGAAGATAATGGAAGGATAAGCGTAGCAGAAAATTGCTTGTGGAGACATGATGGAGACTATAGATAAAGCCATGAAGGTGGTAGAGAATACTCCGATACGTACACGCACTCGCCAGCTGTCATTCCCGTCTTCATTGCCATCGCATGGAGTAAGGGAGACCTCCAAGGAGACGAAGGAAAAGAGGATGAGGACAAGGGCAAGAAGGCACAGTTCAGAAAGAGTGAGACGGTTATCTTGGATAAATTTTACTGTGTGAAATGGATCCCAATCCTTGGGCATGCTTACATGTGTTCTTAAAACATTGATCACAAATACCAGAAAATACCTTAAATCTATGTAGAGAGACATCCTCACTTTATTTTGTTATGCTACTCAAACATTTGCACCGAGTTACTCGAAACTCCCTCGATATATATAACTCAGGACCGACCCGTGCCAGTCGATGTTCCTTATGCTATTTAAATTTTGTCGAAAATTCCTACGCAATATTATTCAAACCGATAGCTTACCCTTTAACTAAAAAAATTTATTATTCAAACCGATATGTCATGCAGGGACCCACAAATTCCCTAAACATTATTTTTCTCACCCAAAGTTAACCAATTGCATATTTAAAGATGCGTAGGGGCCGTCGATTGTTTCCTTATGTCACAAGCGGGATTTAATTCCTACTTAAACGACATGTTAAAAGCATCTGACTTCGAAATTTCATTTTTGGAGCTTGTCCGGGAGGCTAAGACCCACCTACTTGCGTATATAGCATGTGGTATGTGTATATATGTCATTTATGCATACTCAATATCTCTGTTCAGGTGTGATGGTGTTGCCTGAGTGATAAAAGATCAGACTTTAAATACCCTCACCCTAGGTCTCAGGTTCGAATCTTCTTTCCCTAGCTGCCAATAACTGACTAACTCACTAACTATTGTCATGTAAAGAAAATAAATATCTCCATCCTTCTTCCTGAAACTCTAACACCTTTACCTATTTGGCTGGTGTGTTAGCTGTGCAGTGCAAACCTAGTTAGTTAGCACAGTGAAAGAGCCTTAGGTGTGAATTTGCTCAATTTTTATAAGAGAAGCATTCATATTTCGAGATGTGGAGCATGAATATTATTAGGATATCATTTTTGTTTTTTTAATGTTTAAAGTCCATTCTAGTCTGCTCTGGTAGGTTCTATTAATAACGTCACTTGCTCTTTTTCATCCAAAATTTTCTCATCTTTTTTTTTTTTGTTTTTTTTTTGTGTGGAATTTTTAAAAAAAACATAAGTTGGGGAATTTTTTTAAAAAAACACTTAGAGATGGCTGAATTAAGGGTGACGTGATACTTCATTCAAATTTTAACTTAAATTAAATTTATCGGATTGAAGTAAATTAAATAAGCCACAAAATAAAAATAAATGCAAGTATAATAGAGTTAGAGAGACCAAATGTTTAGCAAGCAAAGCGAATCACTAAACAAAATATAACATATCTATATGTCACTATTGGCTTGTCACTATCATGATGTACAAAACAAAGCATAGGGCTGTGCACTATTCCATTGGGGGAATTGTAACTTTCCATGAATTTCCCATTTATCACTTAACGTCGAATCTCATGATATGTTGCACAAACCTCATGATATGTTGCACGTACTTTGGTCTGGATTCGATTAGAGCTGTGAACAAGTGAAAACTAAAATGATTTAAATGCTTAAAACAAAACACAAGTTATAGGGAAATTTAATATATTATTGATGAATGAAAGAAAATTTTAATTTTGCAGTGCATGTATTTATAGTGACGAAAACTTAAAAACTAATGCACAAGGGAAACTAAAAATAAGCATAAAATTCAACTGTCACTAAAAAATTATGAAAAATAGGATAAAAACTAATAACAAAAAATTATTAAATACTACCTGTAACAAAAATTCTGAAATATTTAATAATCTTGAATATTTTATTTTTGAATCCTAAATGATAGAACTAGACTAAAAAACAGCGTACTTAAGCAACAAAGTTGGGTCCCTGGCCTTCCCTTGCACCACATGAAATTAGACTTTGGCATCTCCTCCAGAAGAGACCTTTTTTTGAAAAATAGACTTGCAGCGTATTTCATCACATGACACACACACACATATATGTATATATGTGTAAAACCAGTAGAGAACATATATGTGTAAAACCAGTAGAGAAACCAGCAGTTGATTATTTTCTATAAGTTTTAAGAAACCAGCAGTTGAGTACATTTGCAAACCTCTATAGTCAAAAGAATAAACTAGGACTAATGTGGGAACATACTACTTTGGGGGAGAAGTAATTTAGGTACAAAATAAAACAATTAAGGTAACATGACAGTGAAAACTACTACCAAATTTTTTTTTTTTTTTTTTTTCTGGTTAACATGCTTTAATTTGAGGTCACGTTTGAGGCCTTCCATCTATGTCTAAACCATGATTTTCATAGTCGTAGTTGCCTATGCAATATCTCACACCTATATTAATAATGTATACAATATATAATATAAAATGGGTCACAAACCTGCCCAAACCCGACCCAACCCGTTGGTTTTCCACCCCTAAATGTAATGTATATGTTTAAATCAAGTATGGTGGAGAGAAAAGCTTGCACCCAATACAGTAAGGTTGAGAAATCAAACAAAGCATATCAGAAGAGCATTTGGGGGAAGAAGGGAGAGAAAATTAATGAAACAGTGAGCGTAGCAGATAAACTCCCAACATTTACAATTCCGTACCTCGTGCACAATGAACAAGTTGTGTGTCAAATAGATCTCATATTTTTCGTGCTATTTGTTGTAGAATATGTTTTTCGTGTTATGACAATGCTGATTATTCAAGGAAGGCATGTGTTTATGAAATTAAAAATAAATATAGAGTACGAACGTTTTGTTGGGACAAAGCGAAATCAAAAGAAAGAAAGAAACAATTCAAATCACAACACAAGTACGTGGTTCACCCAAAATCAGGGTTACATCCACGGATGAAAAGAGATTCACTATATATGTAGAGATATTATAATAGTAAAAAATTTTAACACCAGACAATGCACACAAACTCTTGACCGAGTTCTCCGTGCATTCCACAAGACTCCCTCTCGCCATCAGTGTTCACTCTACCAAACCCGTAACTCACCCCTACCATCAACGTACTCCCTCATGAGGTTACATCTCTCTCAACTCATAACTCTCAACAATATCCTAAATGTCTATTTATAGAGTCACATATCCAATTCCTTTGTGGACAAAGATTATAATTTTTTAGAGTTCAATTCACGTCTTTATAAGAAATTACCACAAAAGTACACTTTAAAATAGAAACTAATAGTAATGGGAATTTGAGACATAATTCCTAACACGTTTTGCTAAGATTAAGAGGATATTTGATTTCATATACAGAATTGGAGGAGTGAATGATCTTCAAAATACTTTACGATTCTAAAGCTTGATTATTGTCGATTAACTGAAATGTTGTAAGATATAGGCCAGGGTAAAGAAATTCAGTAGACAACTTCTTCACGAATTGAATTTCTAAGAGTTTTTTGGTTCACTGATTTTAGAACTTTTTTTTTTTTTTTTGCTTGTTATTGCATTTTTCTTTTTCCGATAAATGGGTTGGATATATTTCCCACAAAAAAATAGAACAATGAAGTAAAGAGGAGAGCAGGGCCTACGCTCTGTGAACAGATTGATTTAATTATTTATTTTATTAAATTGTTAGAACATACTTACAGGGGCTCAGGGCATAAGCTATTCCATTGAAACCAAATGAGGGTATACTGCTATATATAACTGCATTACACACACACACACACACACACACACACACACATATATAGTTCTTTTGAGATCATTATTGGTTACTTCTGCTTATTAATCACTAAAAGTCCTCTTCTGAACATGTATTCTCCTGCAACTTCAATTTTTAACTAATTCAATTTCTATTTTAGTTGGTTCTACTCTTCTTGGTTGAAGCAAATGATGTTGAGCTTGTTCATCATAGATATTGAATCTAAGATGTTGCGATGCCATATTAGACTATTAATTGTCCAAAAAACTTGGAACTATTAAGCAATGAAGTACAGAGGAGAACAGAGCATACCCTTTCTGAACTAAAAGAAGACATAAACTATAGAGTTATATATAGTACATCCACTTCCAAACACAAAACCGTATCCATTCATTATGGAGAAACAGTGACATATAGGAATAATGAGACAATCATGTGAGCAAATAATTTTCTTTTAGGCTATGTTTGGCCGCATGAAATTGTAGTTTTCAAATTAGAATTGATGGAATTGGAAAAAAAACA